TTCATTCATTCATTCATTCATTCATTCATTTTTAAGACAGGGTTTCATGTAGTCCAGGCTGGCCTCAAACTCAATAGGTAGCTGGGGATGACTCTGAACCCCTGATCCCCCAGCTTTTACCGCCACCTGTTGGTATTACACAGAAAAGAAATGCCTTCAAAAGCAATTTACATAATCATAATCACCATAACTTCCTCTCAGAAAGCAGGATTACTCCCTGGTAGGAATCATTGTGACACAGAGTCACATAATGTGTGTGTGTGTGCGTGCACGCATACTGCTAAGGATCTAGACCTCACATGTGCTAGGCAGGTTGCTCTACCACCGATCTACACTTCAGCTCCTTGTACACTAAATGCACTCAACCCTAGTGGAGGCCACCTTGTCACTGTGGTGTAGGTACTTAGGCCACTGAGACTTAGTGACATGTGGCAAACACTCCTGCTCATCCTCACCCCAGAAGAGGGTCTTGGAAGTAGAATCTGGCCAAGGAATTCACTGAGCCATAGAATCTGAGACTCAGCCCATGGGAGGACCCCCCCCCCAAAACAGAATCTGAGGGTACATATGTGAGCTACCCTCCTCCTTTCAGAACTTCAGCAACCCCAAGCATGTTCAGGCAAAGAGCTCATTCAAGTGCCTGTGAGATGATGCATTAGGGCAACTTCCCTTGTGTCTCACATTGCTGCCTCCATCCTGTGCCTGTGCAAACTGTTACCCTTCTTGGCAAGGGAGCGTAAAGTGGCCAAATGTCTCTTCAGGCTACAAAGCTATACAGGTGCAGACTGCACAGCTTTTCTCTCTTCTGTACTAGGATCCACAGATGTACACGCTCAGCACCCAAAGTATTCCAAAACTGCAGCTGATGAAGTTAAACACTGCCATTGACCAGTCAGGAAAACCACCGACGGGGCAATGATGAGGAAGAAGGTGTTGCTGGCAGTGGTGCTGATGCTGCTGATGGTGGGGTTACTGTTAGATGGTGGTGGCAGTGTGATGTGATGGTCTTGCTGGTGATGAAGGTGTCATTGGGGGGATGATGATGGTCTTGCTCATAGGGTGGGTGTTGTCCTGGTATCACTGTGGAGACGGTGTTAGTGGAAATGGTAGCTGAGGTGCTTCAATTCCACTAAGAGCTGCTCAGTGCTGCACACTATGGCACCTGGCATCCCTGTGCTTCACTCTTCTCTAGGTTCCTGATGAGGCACAGAGCATTGGAATTTACTTCCTGGGTAAGAAGTCCCTTGGCAGTGCTGGAGGCCAGCCACAGGCATGTCAGAGACACAGAGATGAGGTGAGTTTGACAGTCAAGGCCTTCATGGAACCTGGAGAGGAGAGCCCCAGACTGTCAGGGAGTCAGGAGTCCCAGGAGGGAAGGCCAGTGTGGGACTCGAGACCTGACTGTGCCACATCTTCCTTCAGGGTCCTGTGGCTGGTCAGGTGCTGAAGGATTTCCAGACAGGGGAGACCCAGGTGGTTCCCAGGGCCTGCCACATGCAGCATTTGCTCTGTGGGATCCAGTACATCCTTGGGCCCTGCGGCTGTTGGTCCTGCCAGAGCTATGGGTGGGGAGAGCTTTCACAACACCAAACGTTTCACAGTCATGTCAGCGTGTGTGACACAATTGACCCCAAGTTCCCTGATCAGTGTCCTCTAGCTGGGCACGGAAACCCAACTGTGAGTCTCTGATATGCCAAGGGTACATGCAGACCCTGGTAAGTCGCATGGGGGCCACATGGGGGCCAAGGGGCCCGCAGGATGGAAGTGTCCATTATTGAGGACGAGAAAACAAACCTGCACATCACCCAAGGGATGCTGGTTTGAAATGTCAGGACATGGAGGCATGGAAAGACAGGGCCATTAGGAAAACTGCTACTACCACATGGGCTAAGCTTCAGTCCCTTAGCCAGAAACTTCTAGAAGAGCTCCTGGCCTTTAGTATTGGCACCTGCAGATCTGAACATACCCCACGAGAAACAAGCCCTTCATACTGGAATGCTAGTGGGATCATGGGCTGTATTATGTCCCCTCTAAATTCGTACATTAATCTTATAAGATTAGGACACAGGAAACATGGAGGTCCAACTGTGTGATGGCAGAGGGAGGACAGTCTAAAAGACCAGGGTAAGGGCTCACAGGGCTCCTGCCCTGCCACACCTCGATCTCAGGCTCTGGTCTCCAGAATGTGAGAAATAAGTGTCTGCTGTTTAAGCCACCAGGCCTGTGGCACTGTACCATGGCAGCCCCAGCTGAGTGACCCCAATGCCACGGCGTAAAGTGAAGTTGAAAGTATGTCTCAGGTTAGCCAACATCAGCCCACTGCAAGGGCTCTGGAATGGTTTTGGGCCTCATCTGTGCAAGGTGACCCTGGGATGCGCTGCAGGGCTGTTGTATGACAGGGAGACCTCAGGATGCCTTGCAGGGTGACTCCAGGCTGCTCTGGGGGGCTGCTATAGGCTTACCACACACAGCTCCTCAGACCATGTGTTGGCAGCAGCCATTTACTAAGCATGAGCGAATTCGGGGTCCTGGAGAGATGGAAGAGAAAATATCACTGAGGGCCACATTGGGGAGCTGCAGCTGGTAGATGCCAGACAGTACTTTCCTTACAGTATTTTCACTGAGACCCCCTCCCAGCAGGACAGCCCACGTATAGAATGTGTGGCAAGTCCTTGTCAGTGTCTGTCTCAGGAGTTAGGGGTGTGGGACAGTCAGCCACCACCCAATACTCCAGAGGCTATGACATGACTCACACCCAGGTGGTGGTGGTACAGAGAGGCTGATCTGTCCAAGGTCACAAAGTGTAGCAGAGGTTCTGGTGGGCTCCAAGGCTGTCACAGTGACCCAAGTTGAAGGCTTTTCTTTCTTATACAGCCATTTACATTATTTAAATGACAAAGGCCCCAGGGGTTTGCAGAAAACCAACCAGAACTGAGAACAGAAGTGAACTGGGTAAAGTATGGGATGTCTTTGGTGCCACTCCAGAGGACCTTGCAAGTACCCAGCTGGGCCTGTGGGGAGGGGAAGGCACCAGCCCAGTGAGGTTTCAGAAGAGGATGGATAGGTGAGGGGACAGACATCTGGTCTGGAAGCATGGCCAGAGGGGTGGGGGTGTAAACTGTGAGGGATTAGAGCCAGTCAGGACAGAGGAAGGGAGAGCTATGGAGGTGCCCACAGAACAGACACTCACCCAGCCTTTCAGGCCCAGGAGGGCACCAGGAACACTGACCCTGTGTGGGATGATGGGGCAGAGAGGATGCCCAGCCAGGGGTTGGATGTACAGGACTAAAGCTGCTAGCCTGAGGTGAAACAGGGCACAACCTGAGGGTGTCTGTGTTCTGAGGCCCGAAGGCTATCGGCCTGGTGTGGCATTCCCTGAGGTGCCTACTTAGGCTCACGCCCCTGGGACCTCATTTGCAGGTCCACAGAGGCGCTTGCTCTGGCAGATGCTGGCCTCTTAGCTTGCTAGTCCCTGGCCCTCGAGGGTCGGTGCACTTCCCTACGCTTTTGAAGCGATCCCATTGGCCCAAGCATCTTGACCTCTGCGGTCACCTCCCTAACCTTCCTCATTAGCACTTCATTTGTACTTTCAATCCTCAGGACTCCACCAGGGGGCAGTGCTCTTACTCACAGGTCACAGGCACAGAGACACTTGCCAGACACTTGCAGCTTGCTTGAAATCACAAGGCCAGTGCCCACAGCTCAGCCACTCTGAGGGACTGGTTGTCCTCCTAGTACAGACCTGTTTCCAGAAGACACGACAGGATTACACCCTACAGTGTGACCTGAACTGGCCCCACCTGATTACGGGACATGGCGGGCATCTATGTATAGGACAACACTGACAGGACACCCTATGGTGACACAAGGTGTCTTGATGGGGAGATGGCTGAGAAGGGTCTGAAGGATGTGGGACATATGCTCACATACACACACAGAGCTGCATTCATGTTCCATGTGCTGTTCAAATACACCTGAAAACTTGAAAATGGTTAAAACAAGGAGACTTTCTGTTGCCTCAGCTGACAGTCCTTATCCCCCCAGAGGACTGAGGAACTCCAAGCGCAGTGGAGCTGCTACTTCGTTACATGGGACAGTGTCTGCCCTAGCTCTCTGTGCATGGTGACAACTGCCTGAGGTGTCTGCACATGATCTGGGAAGAAGTTAGCGGTCAGGAGAGGGAGGATGCCAAGAAGGCCCACCAATTTAACAGTTGTGCTGACACAGCTCAGCTCAGAACTGGCCATTAGCAACCTTGCTGCCAGTGACAGCCCCTGAAGGCCTCTGTTCATAGCCCTTGGACAGAGCTGGTATGTGACAGGCTTCTTCACTTGGTGACTTGGGACATGGGGCGAGGTCCAGGCAGGGTCATCTCTCTGTGGCTGAGGTGCTGTCCCCATTAGGGACTCAAGCAGAGCAAAGGGGTTGTGAAGGCTCAGGGTGGACTCAGGAGCTATCCCCTACATGCTGGGCTGTTGAGAAGTCCCAGTGAGGAGACCAGGCAGTGAGTGCCTTCCCCTGACCAGTGTGCTCAGGGTCTGGGAGCCTCCTCTGTCAAGGGAGTACAGGCAGCAGCAGTCTCATGGGGTGCCTACCACTCTGTTCCCTGGCCTGAGGACCATCCTGGCTCACTGCAGACCCATATCTGCTGAACCAAGGAGTGGTTTTCCAATGGGTCTCACTTAGGCAAAGCAAAGGTACCTCATCTAGCACTCCATGGAAAAGCCTGTGGACCAGCAGCTTCACAGAGAAAGGAAGAGGCCTCAGGGGCAGGGGCAGGCCTCTGAGCTGTCCTAGGGAAATGACTACTCTGGAGCTTCTGTTAGAGTAAGAAGCCCCCCAGTGATGGCTTTAAATAGCAGCCAGATGCTGGGCAGAGACTGACAGGAGGATGCTAACTGGCCCAGTGGCTCCTCTAAGTGGCCCAGTGGCTCCTCTAAGTGGCCCACTGGCTCTTCTAAGTGACTCAGTGGCTCCTCTAAAATGACTCAGGGGCTAAGTAGGGCAGGCCCAGGCCTCTCCTCCAGAACAGAACACAGCACCAAGTCCTGCCTCTAGGCTGTCCCCAGCTCTCTGCGGGTGCATCTGGCTGCAAATTGCAAAGTCATTTGCCTAGGGGATGTTCCCTGCCCCCTCATTTCTGCAGCAGAGTCTACCCAGAGCTCTTGTGGGTTGAAGTTGTTCCCCTAAAAGAGCCACTGAAAGCCTAACCCTGGGGTGGGGCCCTTATCTGGAAGCAGGCTAGTAGAGGGATCAAGGAAAGACCAGGACAAAGAAGACAAAGGATGATCACCACATGACCATAGGGAGCCAGATATGGAACACACAGGCACCTGACACCCCCAGGACCTGCAAGGGGCAGGGAGGCCCCTCAGGATACAGCCTGACCTCAGACTTTTTGCCTGTGGCAACTGGAAAAGTAAACAGCTGAGAGCTACCAGGTTTGTGTTCTTTGTCACTATAGCCAGGGGTGCACAGGTAGGCGTTCTAGGAAGAAGGCAGTGGCCCAGACAGCTAGGAAACACGCCTCAAACCTGACCATGGAGCCCCAAAGGACAATAAACAGTGCTGAAAGTCCTATGCAGGAAACCAGCACTCCAGTGAGTCTCACTAGCTAGAAAGTACCAAAAGCCCCAGGCCTCTTCTTAGAGGCCCTGAGAGTCCATCCCTACTGCTGTCATCAAGTCCTTGGTATCATCTGATCTTAGAGAGAAAGCATCATGTGAGCCCATTCCACAGAGGGGGATCAGGCTCAAAGTTACCCAAGGTTACGCAGCTACTGGGTGGAGGAAGGCTGGTCCCAGCCCTAACTTTAGGGTTCTGCTTCTAAATCTGGGGGTCAGTGGTCCCTTTTACTAGGCTAGCCACCACTGTCTGTCCTAGCAACAGGCCTGGGAGCACAGTCCTCTTCCTAAGGGCCTGTGCCGATCAGAGGAAGAATAACAACTCTCCAATACCAGAGCAGCACTATGAACTTGGCAGTAGAGCCCAAGGAGGGAAGATTTCTGCCATAGGTAGGTGCAGCCATGGGCATCAGAATGCAGTGAAAGGTAGATCAAGGAGGACAGATGGCTCACTGGAGGCAAGGGGCGGGGGCAGCAGGAGTACTAGAGGGTGCCTCACCCACATACATCCTCGGAGAGCTGGCTGAGGCTCACAGTCTCTTCAGACTGTGCCCCACCTGCACTGGAGTGAGCGCTCCACTCTGTACCTACACTTAACTCTAGTACCACCCTTACATTCTCTGTCTCTGAAATGGCCCTGGGTGGCTGCTGGTCTTTATTCACAGGTCCTGGCACACAAACGGGTGCCTAAACTCTCCTATAGGGCAGTTAAAACAACACTCAATCTGAGCACTCACAGGGGACAGAGTAAAGGGCTTCATACCTGCCAACACTGCCCGGCTGCAGGTGGTCACCTGCCTAAGCCTTGGCAGGACCCTGTCCCTGACCCTGCAATCAGAGAGCTCCTGCTGTCCTCAAAGGGCCCCAGCTGCTGCTCTGGAACAAGCCGATCCCTAGGCCCCAGTGGATCCCTCACTGAACCGCAGCAGTGCAGTGGCCAGGCTAGTTTGTGAGTGAATGTCCTATGGAGAGGGGCAGCCTGGTTCTCACCTGTAGGCTAAGGTGGTGACCACAGCAAGTTTAGGCTCTTCCTCTGGCCAATGAGACACATGATGCGAGGTCATATGTCAGAAAACCATTTCCCACGAAAGTCCTCAGAAGAGCCTCATCGCTTTGAGCCCATAATATGCCTAGGCCAGACCTGCCCAGGGTTCTGCATACCTGGGAGCCATCCAGCAGGAGTTCTGACCTAGAGCCAGTGGGTCTGCTGAGAAGGGACCCCAGTAAAGATTGAGAATTCAGGGGGTGGGGTGGGGAGCAAGGAGGTTGGCCACCTGCTGCTAGTGCTCTCTTGGAGATGGATGTAGTGCTTGATAGTGGGGGGCCTTCTGGGCACAGCCTAGGGGGCAGGTAGTCAGGGATGAAGACTGCCCTGGGCAAGGCCTCATAGAAACATCCAAGCAGGTGAGGAAGTGCAGAAGATATGGCAGGCCCTGAGTTCAGCAGGTAGGGATGGTGGGAAGAAGGTGTGGTCAGGTGCACAGGACTGAGAATAGAGGAGCAAGTGTGGGTTCCACCTGGGCCCATGTGTTGAGGAGGTAGACACACGGAAGCATGCACAAGGTGTTTGAAAATACCCTGTGTCTAGGGTACTGATAGAGCGGACGGGGAGGGACCATGTCCAGAAGGGGAGGGACCATGTCCAGAGTCAGCTGGGCTGAGAAAAAGGCAATTCACGTTCAGGGGACTTTCAAGGTGAAGACCTGACCCCAATCCAGGAGCTCATAGCTTTAAAGGAATTATTCCCTACATCCTGGTGCTGATGAACTTCAGGCCACCCCAACTCTCTGTCCTAGACTGACAAAGACCAAGGGCACCCTGAAGTTGCCCCCTATGTAATGGACTGATGGTTCTAGATCATCTCAACCCTACAGATAGGCCTGTAGGGCACTCTGACTCCTGAATGCAGGGCTGATGGGCCTGTGTCCTGGAATGAAGGACTCAAGGCCACCCTGATCCCTGCATCCTGGGCTGATGGATCCTGGGGTCACCCCATACATTGATCCTGTGCTGTGGTTGGGCCCCAAGCCACTGACCCTTGCATTGCTGGGGTTGAAAGGCCCCCAGGCCACTCCAACACATTCAACTTGGGCTGATGGGTCCAGGCCATCTTGACCCAAATGATGGTGATGGGTCCTAGGAAACCGTACCTGCATGCTAGTGGGATGGGCAGAGCTCATCCCAACACCTATGCCCTGGTCTGATGAGCCCACAGGTCACCCCAACACCTGTGACCTGGTCTGACAAGCCTGCAGGTCACCCCAACACCTGTGCCCTGGGAGTGATGAACCCACGGGTCAGCCACCATGAGTGCTGGGCAGAGAGACCCAGCTCATCCCGTTCTGAGTCCATAGGTCACTTCAACCCCTGAGTCCTGGGCTAACGAGCCCCCAGGTCACCCCAACACCTGTGCCCTGGGCTAACGAGCCCCCAAGTCACCCCAACACCTGTGCCCTGGGCTAACGAGCCCCAAGGTCACCCCAACACCTGTGTCCTGGGCTAACGAGCACGCAGGTCAGCCACCTTGCGTGCTGGCTCTAGGCCTCTCGGGCCACTCTGACCCCTGCGTGAGGCCCGCCCCGCCAGGCACACTCACCTCTGGCGCTGTCCGTCCAGGCCGACGCTGAGGCCGGCGGGAGCCGTCGTGGGGCTGAGCAGGCCCTGGGGCGCGGGCCTGGCTGGCAACCCCGGGAGGCCTCCGGGGGGCACGGGCGGCGGCGCCGGCGGCTCGC